TCAGCTACCGCATCACAGAGTCCATCGCCGACCTGTGGTGTACCTCCTATATGAACCCCCTCTATTTTCCGGACCAGCTCAGCCACTTAGCCACGTGTGGATTGCTACTCCTGGGCACCAATGAGGACCTGCCCGATCCATACCACTCCTTCAGTTAATCACAAGCCCAGCCCTACCCGATGTAGCACAGCTCATAAACGAACGCTTCTACAATACCAGAGGACAACAGCATAGCCTTGATCTCCGACCTGGGCAGGTCCGACGCCGTGGTGAGTGACACCACTACTGATAGCAGATACGCCAGAAACATCTACAACACCAATTGATCTTCCCAAGTAACACTTGCAACACTTACGAATAACGCGGGAAGGGACAGAGTTTGCTGACAGTCCTTAGCACTCCGAGCAGCAGCCACCGCCCTGTCCAAGAATTCCTCACTGAAACAAGACAGCTAGCATAACGACGTCCCCAGCCCTGGCCGTACACTCTGTCCTTCCGTGTTAGACTACTAGGACTACCCCTCCCCCTAGTGACCAGCGTAGAGCTCACTATGGTGAATACCAAGCCTATTGATAGGATACCATCACCTAGCAGGAGATATTGCCGCCCTAGAGGGCCCATGGGGGACTACCATCACTCTTCAGGACAGAACACCGGTTGGCAGTGGCGAGAGCCAACGCCTCGTATAACAGGTGCTGCTGTGCTCCACCTTATGAAAAGCCTCTCACTCTCGACCCTTCCTACTATGTCCCTACCATCTTCATCTAATACTGCGAGCATATCTTCCGCAGCTGCGATGTCCGTAGCACGGCTCAGTTCGACTAGGAGTTTGAGCGCGTTGGTATCATATCGTAGTGGCGACTGGTTCGCACGGCACTTCTCAACAAGAAGCTATAACAGAAGGCTATCGTTATCAATACAGTTCTGTGGAAACCAACCTGAACTAGACCCATACCCGCTTCCCTCCGGCACTGTTCTTCCAGTGCCTTCAAGACCTAAGAGAATCTGAATGGTAACGCAGACTCCTTCCACAACCTCACCTTCCTTCTCCAGACTTCCCCAATCTGTCTAGCCACCACCTCAGGCGTTTGAGTAGGACTATCGTAATAGCCCGCAGTACGCTGCTGAGGCGGGCCGTCTGTGAAAGCCAAAGCCATGGTGGTGGACGAATACTCAGCCGAGTCTACAGGACCTAAGATGGGTTAGCATGGACCCATGGTCACGACCCGTTACTGTAGGAGTTGTGCAGTAAACTCGCGAAGGCTTGCAGTATAGCCCGCGCCAGCTTCTGGCCAGCACTGCTATGCCCCGATCTAGCAAGACTGCTGGCGAGAGCTCGTACCTTAACAGAGTGGAAAGCCTCAAGCCTTGTCCAGGGAATGGATAAGTGTGAATAGTCGATGAGAGGCCCTATGCGATGACAATGTGTCCATGTTGCGGTACCATAATTCGAGCATCCATAACATGAGAGGAGTCGATACGCAGCCGTTCTTAGAAGTGGGAAAGGAATGGTATGGAGCGAATGAAGCAACGTCTCCGAATATATCCCCCCTACTGCCAACGACAATGAGGAGGACTCTCCTTCCTTATCCCATCTCTGCAATGCCTCGACTGCCTACACAATACTACTACATACCACACTGAGTCGACTCTACTACTACCTTGGGTAACTGTTCGGCTGCTTCGGTCATCCACTCAACTGTGGACCAGGCGATTGTCTGCTGTGCCAGGGTCGCGAATAGGACCTACACGATTCGTCTTGTGAAGACCCACTAGGGACTGTCATCCTACCCCACAGCACTTGGATACGTTTATAGCCCCTGGACCTGGCCTGCATGGCGATGTGCCCTCCAGAGTAACACAGAGTATCTTGAAAAACACTATTTACTGAAAATTCAAAAAACACTGCCTATATGCAGTCAACTACACTGAGTACAATACACTCACACGACGAGAAGAGAAAAGAGAACTGCCTCATAGATTTAATGTGAATAGAAGCATATGGCAAGTCCAGTAATACGACCATATTCATAGTCTACATGAACATAGGTACTATTATAATATTCATAAAAAGCATGACATTCCCTCACAGTTCCAACAATTACTTCAGGTACGATCCTCAAGAATCGATCAGCATTGAATGCATCATCGCCCTCCCCAAAGATAAGATCAGTACCACACTCATCCACCCCCGCACTGGTCGCACCAGCAGCCGCAATGAATCTACCCAACAGGTACACATGAGGCACTCCTCTTGATCGGGAATCACCTCAGCCACAGTCCCAACACTCGCAGACCATCCGACAAAACTGACTCGAGCTCTGACTCTGACCGCAACGATAATGGGCCGATGCCTATCGTAAAAACACTGCAAGGGCATCGAACACGACAGGTCTACAGCAGCGCTCCACGATAGCCATAGTTGAGCACGGCAAGCTGCTGTCTGGGGCGAACAGCTTGGACAGCATCAGATTATTGGCCGAGCCGGCTTGGGTTACGTATACGAGGAAATTGGCCAAGAATTGGAGCAACGAGCTCAATGAAGGTGCAGGAGAGGAGAGGGAAAATAGAGCCTT